GATCATCACACGAGTCTCTGTCAATCACTGAATCAACTGAGTTTAATTGTGAGTCGTGTCACACATGATATAAAAATGTCATAAATTCAGTTTCATGCTTTAGAAATAATGCAGACTGCATAAAGAAGTAACTGCAGATGAAGTAACTGAAGGTAATGTCTGCTGTGAGTGGATGTGTTTGTTGGAGACTCAGTTGATGTGTGTTTGTGCAGTTAGTGAAGCGTTCAGGAGGTTTTTGTTCAGCTGCTCTATTAGTTTCTATCACTGTGGTGGACTTTCGGCAGCGGCACCAAACTGGATGTTGGCAGTAAGTCAATCATCATTTAATATTATTAATACAACAACTGACTGTTAAACACTTTGTTGCTCTATAGAATGGATACACTTTTCAGCTTATTTATATATTAATTTTATTTTTAGTTTACATTGAATGTTTGGCAGTCAACATTGTAAAGATGATTTTATTGTCATGGCATCTTTGTTTTCATCCAGTGAACTAAAATAATTTCCGTCATTTCTTAATAACTTGATTTTATGAGTTTTCAAAGCTTCAGCTCTTTTTTCCTCATTGATAATTAAATTCTAAATGTTAAAAAGGTGCACTGAAATCAAATGTACATTAGTCTGTCAATTTAGCACCACTTTGATTTTACTTGAAAATTTAAGACAGTAAATAAACTTACATTTTAAGATTAGTGTGTTGATTTTTAAGCAAAGCATGCAGATATTTTCAAACTGGAAATTATGGTTGCTTAATTGTATTTTTGTTAATATTTGATAGGTTAATAATTTATAATAGACATGCAAGACAAAAGTTATATTTTATATTTTTTACAACAAACTTTTGTACCCAATCTTCTCATGCTGTCATCAAACATTGTAATGAATTCCAGCAGTTATTGTGTTTATTCACATCTGTTCTTTGATGCTTTTAATAAAAGTGACTAACATTGAAGTTGATAATGAAAATGACTCTTCAAATCAATATATTTCACCAAACTTTCTTTCCTTTGCTGATCACAGGTTTTGTAAAAATTCATTCAAGTGACTTGCAGTTTAATATTATAAAAATGACTAATAAAACTATCACTGTATAAATTGTTCCTATATTTTTCTGAAGCTGAAAGGAGAGAAATGCTTTCTTCTTCACTGAGTTGACTGTTGTGTGTTTGTCAGGCGTCACTCGTCCTAAAGTGAGCGTCCTGCCGCCCTCCAGTGCAGAGATCTCCTCAAAGAAGACAGCGACACTGGTGTGTGTGGCCAGCAAGGGCTTCCCGTCAGACTGGAGCCTGAGCTGGAAGGTGGACGGGAGCAGCAGGTCTCAGGAGAGCAGCGCTGGGCTCCTGGAGAAGGACGGTCTGTACAGCTGGAGCAGCAGCCTGACTCTCTCTGAGCAGGAGTGGATGGAGAGCGTCTCAGTGAGCTGTGAGGCCACACGGAGCGGCCAGCCTGCGCTCACTGGACACGTGACGAGACAGCAGTGTTCAGAGTAGATCTGCTGCTCTTCTCACTCATGTCTCACATGGAGACTAACAGCACATGAGCGACTCCTTCATTCTCCACATCCAGCTTCAGTCGCTCGCATCTGCATCTGCTCTGCTTTGTGTGCTTCATACAAGACTATATGTGTGATTTATCATTCAGTGGTCATGCTATTAAACTTTACTCAATAAATAAAATTTAATTGTAACTGTTCTTTTTTGTCATTTTTGTTTTGGGTCTTTCTTTGGATCAGCGCTTTAGCTCACATTAAAAATAATAATAATTTTTTTAAAAACTTCTCTCAACGGACCAAGAAAAAACACCTTCAGATACATTATGAAATATTATGAACCTCACAAATATAGTGTTAGATTAACATATTTACTCTAACAAGTGGAAAACTAAATGAATGCTTTATATTTAATTTTTATGAAAATCCTGACTGTTGAGTGTGTGATAGTGTTTGAGCAGCTGCAGCATCAGTTCATCACTGTGACTCTGACTGACGGAGGTTTTTGTACGACTCTTTATCACTGTGTGAACACATTAACACTGTTGATCCAGTGTGCACTCATACAGTAATAATGTCCAGCATCTTCAGTCTGGACTCCACTGATGGTCAGAGTGAAATCTCTCCCAGATGATCTGCTGCCAGTGAATCTAGATGGAGTTCCTGATTGCCGATTGATTGCTGCATAAATCAAGAGTTTAGGAGCTTCTCCAGGTTTCTGTAAGTACCAGCTAAGATAATGGCTTCCATTGTGACAGCAGTTGGGATCACTGTTAAATGTACAGGTTACAGTGACTGAGTGTCCAGTTTGAGCGAGCAGCACTGAGGGAGTTTGAGTCACTGTCACCTGCAAAAGATTCTGTTAAATGAGAAAGATTAGAAAGAACAGATACTTTTACAACCATATATCTTCACAACATGCATAAAAATAACAAGTAAATAACATAATATCTTTACTGGCACGAACCTCTACATAATACTGCCAGTGTCCAGATCAATATGGCGATGAAAGTCATTTTTGTTGGTTGTAGGTTCAGTTAGAGTGTAAAACAGTTGTTGATCATGTTTGATGTTTGTCAGAGTTATAAACACATGCAGAGCACTGAAGCGTGTGGCGCTCATGTAAAACACACTCTCTATGCAAACACTTCAGGAGAATGCCAACAAGTTTAAGTTGGTTTAATGTGCTGTTTCACTAAGACTTAAGAAAATATTTAATGAGTTCACATGTTAATATAATCTTTCATTGATATAAAGCAACATCGCACATGCAAGAGCGCTGCTTCTTCTGAATATCAGATCAACAGCATGATTGTAAATGTGATATTGCTTTTATACAACCATTTATTAAACAATAGGTTACTACTGATTAATTTACTTTATAGTGAATGAGTCATCTCATGAGTCATCATCGAGTGAATTAACTGAATAAACTGGAATATCTCGTGACTGTCAATGAATTGGGCACTGAACAGATTAGAACAAATCTTTTTTGGTGAAAGGATTTGATAAAGATTGGAGTCACTTTGATGAATCAAAATCCCCAGCAGAGAGTTGAGTTTGTTGCGTCAGAACTCACAGGTGATTCGTCTGATTTCTGTTTACTACAAAAAAAAAAACTATTCTGTTTACTAAGACAAATGGAGCTACTGTACGAGATGTAGAGTGGAAGTCAAGATTTCTCTAATTAAATTCTGTGTAGGCTACTCCTCACACATGGATTCAGAAGACTTTGAATGTAGCGCACAAGTCATGTGAACTACTTTTATTACGCCTTTTTTCATGTTTAGAGTTTGACATCCAGAGTCATCAACTGCCTTTGTGTGGAAAGAGAAGCTTGAACTTTCTGCTAAACTGCTAAACATCCCTATTTGTGTTCCCCAGATTCATGGGTTTGGAGTGACATAAGGGTGAGTAAATTATTTAAATTATTCTATGAACTGTCACTCCTCCCACAGTCTACCTTTTTCAAATTGAAATCACCAAATTACTCCAAGTTACATCAATGCAAAGATACTTTTTGTTAGATTTGTTAGAAGACGCTGAAATAACCTGTGCCATAAGACAAAAATCAGGCCTGTTTTGTTTGTTTACAGATATGTTTGCTCTAGTGGACTGTGATGGAAGAGAAAACTTTTGAAATCCTCTGTCTCTCTGTCTCTGTCTCTGTCTCTGTCTCTCTCTCTCTCTCTCTCTCTCTCTCTCTCTCTGACTGACGGAGGTCTTTGTACGACTCTTTATCACTGTGTGAACACTGGACCACTGTGGTAACTCTGACAGTAATAATGTCCAGCATCTTCAGTCTGGACTCCACTGATGGTCAGAGTAAAATCAGTTTTAGACTCTGACAGTAATAATGTCCAGTATCTTCAGTCTGGACTCCACTGATGGTCAGAGTGAAATCACTGTTAGATCCACTGCCACTGAATCTAGATGGCGTTCCGGTGTAAAGTTTTTTTGCTAAATAAATCAGGAGTTTAGGAGCTTCTCCAGGTTTCTGTAAGTACCAGGCTAGAGGCTCATAACTCCAACCCTGTTGTACTTCAGGGCTGGTTTTACAGGACATGGTAACTGTGTCTCCTGGTTGAACAGGTTTGACTGCAGGCGTCTGAGTGACTGTCACTTCAGCTGCTGAGTCTACATCAAGAAAAATGAATAAACATTCAGAATTCAGTATTTGTTGAAGGACAGTATTTCTAGCACAGATGATCAGTTAGAATAGAGTATGTTTATTTCCTCACCTGTGAAACAGTAGCTAGTGAAGATCCAGATGAAGATGGTGATGAAGCTCATGGTTGCTGTTGGTTCAGATTCTCAGAGTTCAAACTCACAGAGCTATAAAACCTCCTGAAGCTTGTGCTGCAATGCAAATCATCTCTATGTAAATCTGTGTATGGGTTACAGCAGATGATGCATGTGAAAAATAACAGTGTTTAGGATCTTTTCTCATGTTATGAGTCAAAAACATTTACTCAAGTGTCTGAAGCTACAGGTTTTCTGATGATTCAAACAACGGAGTTGCATTACTAACTCCATTAGGAGGTCAAAAGTCATTCCAGAGGTCACAGGTCATCAAAACTATTATTAAATCTGCTTTAATGATTAAAAATGCATTGAGAAATGCATGATCATTTAGAAACCTAAGTCAAGTCACCTTTTTTTATATAGCGCTTTTAACAATGCAGATTGTGTCAAAGCAGCTTTTCAGTATTAAATAGGGAAAATAGTGTGTAATAATGCAAAATGGTAAACACTAAATTTTCAGTTTAAGTCAGTTCATCATTCATTCAGTGATGTCATCGTCCAGCTCAGTTCAGACAGTTCAAATAGTATCTGTGCAATAAAGTTGACGATATCGCTGGAAATTAAGTGTCCCCAACTAAGCAAGCCAGAGGCGACAGCGGCAAGGAACCAAAACTCCATCGGTGACAGAAGTGGAGACAAACAGAAATTTAGTTAATGAGCATTTTTAAATAAATTAATAAAACTATTAAGTTTGCTGATGATTATGATTGTAAGTGTCTTAACAGAAGATTTAAAAAAAAAACAAATTCATAATTCAAACTTACGGTGGAAAATTATAATTGATTGGAAATGTCAAAATAAAAATATATTTTTTAAAATACATTTAATATTGAAATTATTATTTGCATTTGTTTTCTAAATCTTATGAAGAAATCACAAAATATTAATCAATTTTCATGTGGAAAATGTTTTTAAAAATTCGTTTGAGATTAAAATGTTCTGTAACTTACTAATTCTGAAAAATATTTTTTTATCATTTATGTAAATTTTATAATTCCTAAAGCTTTTAAATGTCATTTTTTATTTTACATGAATAATTTAACATCCTATTTTTACTAACATTTCAATGTGTTTTAATGAATTCACTGCAAAAATCTATTTAATTATTTCTTGAGAGATAGAATTTTGCTATAATTCTTGGTAAATTTACAAATTAAGGGTTTTTTAAATGCATGACACAAAAGTTTGATAATACATCCAACATGAATATAATTTTGTTTGGGATGCCAGACAAAAAAAAATTAAGAGCATTTAAGAGCATTTGTAAAAAATGATTCATTTAAACTACATAAACTATCACATTTGCTGATGTTTATGATTGTGTCTGAATAGCAGAATATTTTCAAAATACAATTAATATTGAAATGATCATTTACATTTTTTTCTAATTCTTATAACAACATTACAATATAATCATCAATGGACAATGTTTTTCAAAATCATTCTGGGGATCAATTTAAATTTAAATGATTAATTTAAAGTCAAATCATCTTAAAAATTTTTTTACAGTGTTTCATTTCTGCTTCTGTTGTGTGTGTGTGTGTGTGTGTGTGTGTTTCAGCTGGTCCCGCAGTGAAGCCCTCCGTGTCTCTGCTGCCTCCCTCTTCTCTGCAGATCTCTGGAGACTCAGCCGCACTGCTCTGCCTGCTCAGCTCTTACTCTCCACAGGGGGCGCAGGTGAGCTGGACGCTGGACGGGTCAGAGGTCACCGAGGGGGTTCAGACCAGCGCAGAGAGCGAGCGGGACGGACGCTACAGCCGCAGCAGCGTCCTGAGCCTCAGCAAAGCACGCTGGGAAGACGGCGAGCGCTTCGTCTGCAGAGTAACACATGACGGAGCTGATCACGAGACCTCGTTCCTCAAGAGCTCCGAGTGCTGATGTTTCTCCAGTGAAGAGCAGCAGGATTCACAGCAGTCACCTGATTTACAGCTCAATACTCAAGCAGTCTTTCAATGTGCTGCCATTGCTGTTCATTCAATAAAGCTTCTGAACGCCTTACATTTGTGTTCGACTGCATCATTGATCAGTGTGTCCTTCCTTCACTAAAGTTTCAGCTGCTGTTGATGGATTGTAATAGTTGAGAACAGCTGCGTTTAGCAGTAAATGTGAACTGAAGCTCTTGGGGTTTGAACATGGTCTCTGGAGACGGAGCTGCTCTATTCTGAGACGATCACAATCACTAAAGCTGCCAATGCAAATCTGATTTTCAGCTCAAACTCACAGTTTCACTGTTTGATCGGTTAAACTGGATCAGTTTCACTTCTGCTCATGGACTGATGAGTTACGAGTAATAAACTCATTATCAGCTTGAGAAACTGCTCAAGATAGTCTTTGTGGTGTTGGTGCCACAAAATGACTTTACTATGACTTTAGAATATGATTCAAGTTTATTTGTACAGCGCTTTTCACGATACAAATCATTGCAAAGCAACTTTACAGCAAATTAAGTTTCTACAATATTTAGTAGTAGCTTATCAGTGGTGACTGTC